ATAAAAAAAGACCAGGACGTGACCCAAACTTAACATTTTGGTTCACAACTATTTTGGGGGAATTACTGCAATCAAACAATTTATGTGATTTTCAGTCAGACTTGTGCACCTCTCAACAGGTGTTATGGTCTCCTCTTTGAGAGTTAACTGCCCAGTTGGACCCAGGTTTGAAGGGAGCTTTTTCCACTCATCATGTTTCATCTCCTACCCCAGATACTCAAAAGGGTTTCGATCAAGTCTCACAGAAGGCCACTTCAGGATTGTTCAATGTCTAACAACTGACGGTAACTTTGAAACACTGACAGAATAAGTGCCGATGGAAGCGATTCTCGTCCGTCCCTCGGACTGCCAAGAAACCTCTCCAAAAAAATGCAAGAGGCATTTTGGATATGAGAAACAGGAGGAGGAGCAGTAACAGTATAAGAATGTTTTTTGTTTTTTGGCTTTTTTTTTTGTGTGTGTCAAGTGGTCAAAAACTGTTTCTAAATGCTACAGCTCTTGTGAAGGGGATATATATATATATAATATACATATATAATTTTTTTTTTCAGGAATTTTCAAGTAAGTCCACTTTCATCTCTGACACATGCGCATGCACACACAAACACACACACACACACGCACGCACCATACACACACAATATATATATATATATAATTTTTTTTTTCAGGAATTTTCAAGTAAGTCCACTTTCATCTCTGACACATGCGCATGCACACACAAACACACACACACACACGCACGCACCATACACACACAAAATGATCCGACACCGACTGGTCGGGCAGGGAATCCTTTTAACCAAACACTAACGAATAACACAATGACAAACAGGTGTGCCACTGGGGGAGCCCTACAGTGCCATCTGTTGGTCACAAACAGAACCACCCTAACACAACTATTTTAATACTGGCAGTAAAAAAAAAAAGAAAAAAGTGTACAACAGGCTAACTGTTTATTGTGGAAACAGTGTGGACCATTTTGCACACAACTATGAATTATGAACAGCCTTACAACTTTACACACACAAAAAACCCCAAAACAACCCTTTTTCGTGTGTATTCAACCCCCCCTGCTGCTTCTCCTCAAACTGCCCCTTGTTGGTGGGGTAATGCAATAGGGACATGTTCCCCTTGCGGAAGACCAGCTTGTCAAAGCTGGCACTGGCCAGGGCAGTCCTCTGGCTGGAGGATGTCGCCAGCTGTTGAAAAAAACCCACAACACAGCAGCGGATCATGGGATTGGGGTGTTGTGGACGCTGGCGCGTTTGGCTGCCGCTGCTCTCCCACAATTTTGTGTTTTTACGATGTTTTTACGCTGGACTGTTTTACTGTCCTCGCACCGAATTACTGTCTTCATACGACAATCACTTCACCCCAGCCCCCCAATCCGCCCCCCAAGTTATCTGTGGTTTTATTTATTCTTTATTTGTCTTATTGTTTGCTCGTCTGTAAAGTGTCCTTGGGTATTGTGAAAGGCGCTTCAAATAAAATGTATTATTATTATTATTATTGTATTTAATAAATAAATCCCCCCACGCCTACCTGTGCTCCGCTGGTGTGTTTGAATGCCGTACCTGTGGTTGGGTGACCAGTGGCGCATTTAAAGCGTTCCAAGGCAACTGTTTAATCCTTTGCCCATTTCGCCCGAGCAGGTTGAAATAAACTTTTGGCTGCCTTGTGTCGGTGTCTAAAACGTACGTAGACATCACACCCATACATGAATAAGAAGATGCAGTCAATGTTAAAAAAAAAAAAAAAAACGTGAATGAGTCAGCAGACGCAGCCGAATAAAGTAAAACACAACCACACACACACACACACACACACACACACACACACACAGTTTGGGATGGGACCGAGAGGCATCCAACACAGCCAGCTTTCTTAACCGGCTGGATTGAATTCTTTACACGTGTTCAACTGTCAAGATAGTATTTTGCTGCCAACAGAACCATCGTCGGTCACCAGACTCCCTGGTGATATGTAAAGTTTTTGGGACAGAAGCCAAGTGCTCCTCCTCTTTTCTGGTTGAAGCAAAGTGAAGTTACTCTGTCCTGCATCCAAACACAGTGAACGCACACGAGCGGTGCGTCACAACTGTTGGATTACACCCGCCGGCTGGGTGTGTTTCGTCATTAGTGAAATGGGCGTCCGTTGGTACTTGTCCCGGTTAGGTAAAATTACGGAGACGGACGGCAACCCACTTCTGTCCTTGCTTCGTCCCTCCTTTTTAGAAAAAACTTCTCACCCTGTGTCTGTTCACAAATGTACCGACCATTCCGTCACAGGGACAGACGACATGGAATGGACGGACAGACCGTTCAGTCTCATTGACAGCATCTCTGCTGGTTTCGACTACAGAACACAGTTCCACTTTGCATCAGTCCATCTTAGATGAGCGCCACCCCAAAGAAGGCATATCGGGGTGTTGTTGAAAAATGTCTTTTGCTTTGCTGAAGTAGAGATTTAATTTGCATTACAGATGTAGCACCAAACTGTATTTACTGACATTTTCAACACAACTGGCGGAAACACTTTACTGCTTCAAGAACCTTTATTATCAGGATGCTAACTTGATGCTTGTATGGATACTCAAACTCATGTGTGACTCCATTCTTGGAATAATGTCCATTTTTAGAATTATGTTCCATCCATGATGTCGATGATATTTACGAAGTATTTTCCTCCATCCTTATCAAAATGATCTTTTGTGTGGTTATTTGGATGCATGGTCACTAACAGTACAACATGTCCCCTAGGTGCAATGTCTGTGTAGGAATTCCACAGTGACCAGAATGATGTACGCTTGGATCGTGCTGCTTGGGACCATCGTATCCTGCATCATGCTGTCACCAGGGGCGGATAAGCTGCTTAGACGGGTATGAGTTTGTGAAAGCAGTTCACAAACATTTCTGCCATGTTATTAAGATATTAAAAAAACATAACCATCCTTACTGTAACTACATGTGTGTGGAAATATTTGACCAAAAATGCGATGTGTAGGGAAGGGTTAAATACAACATCTACGACACAGCGTCCGTTGCTTTTCCATTTCGATGGGCAGAGGGCGTGATGGGGGTGCGACCATCTGGAGTGTGCAAGCCTGCACTGCACACACACAGTGCACACTTGGAGCGCGTACTTACAGAGTGTGCGGTTCTACCATAACATTTCACAAATTGAAAGTCTTGACCACTGTTTTTGTGGTGATTCAACATATGACTTGCCATAGCATGATGTGACTGCGTCGCAAAGTACAGACCATCAAATACGCAAAGCTTTCACAGCTAAAAAATAAACAGAATACAGTGTACACACTATGAACATTTTGTGATTTACATTAACATTGAACCATATTTCCAAGTACATATGTACCAAAAATGAAATTTCCCAGCCTGCGGTCATTGATAATGAACAGAAAAGCTCAGTCTCATTCATTTGGCCGTCTCTCCAAGTCAGTGAGTGGTTCACCGTCCTCACTTTCCAGTGTGTGAAGCCCTCTGGCGGCTGGCCTAAACCACCATCCCTGGTGTGGTTGCCACATCCTGGATGTGGAGGAAGTGGCAAGGCTTAATCTTGGAGACCCCTCATTCAAGTGAACAGGACCCATGAGCTGTGGTGTGCAATTGCAAAAATGATTACTTCAAGCTTAAATATTTCATCCAGTAGTACATGTGAAATTGTAAATATGGTTCAACATTGTTGCAATCAATCATCACTTTACTTATACAGTGGTACCTCTGCTTATGAAATTAATTGGTTCTGGAAGAAATTTCTTAACTCGAAAATTTTCTAAGTCGAGACGCGTTTTCCATGTAAATGACCGAATCCGTTCCAAGCCCCACCAAAATTCAGTCGTAAATGTTTTCTTAAGCATAAAAATGCATCAAAATATGTAACAAATGCAATTAGATTATTGCACAATAAATGAGAGTTGTGCATAATGTAAAAAACTGAGAATAGAGTAATGGTCATTTAATTTAACTGCGTCTTCATCGTTTTTTGCCCTCTTGAGTTAATGTTCTCTCTCAGAAGTGGTTTTTGCCTGGCGTTTTGTAAAGAACTGATCCAAGGATGTTTGCTTTTGTCTGCTTTTAACAATCCTTCGTAAATGTCCGAGGCAAACATCAGCATTGTAAGCGATCGTCCAACTGGTGAACATTTTTTCTAGGTGACGCACATTTACGTAAAACTATTGGAACGACTCATGGCCCGAGGGGTGAATGACAAGGACGCTGGATAGACACACATCTATCTATTTATCTATCTACACACATAGACACATACAGTAGAAGTCCCTCTTAGCCAATGGCACGCCAGGAAGATGCTAGGTAATAGCCAATCCAAGCAACATCTTTTTCATGGAAACCCTGGCTTATTTCAGCAAGGAAATGCCAAACCACATTCTGGACATGTTATAGCTGTGATTTTATAGTAAAAGTGTGCGGGTACTAGACTGGCCTCTTGTCTTCCATTGAAAATGTGTGGCGCATTATGAAGCATAAATAAATATTGTATTGTTTAAAATACGACAATGGAGATCCCAGACTGTTGAATAGCTGAAGCTATACATCAAGCAAGAATGGGAAATAATTCCAACTGAGATGCATGCAAGCATGCATGTGTTATTGTATGTATAAAGCTTCAACAATTAGTGTCCTGTTGAATGTGGTTCGAAGACAAGGTGATATAACACAATGGTAGACAGGACCATGTCCCAACTTATTTGGAATGGGTTGTATGGTTATTTGCTGAAAACAATAGTTTATCAGTTTGAACATTAAATGTATTGTCTTTGTAGTGTATTCAATTAAATACAGGTTGAACATGATTTGAAAATCTTTTCTTTTTTAATTTATATTTAACACACCGTCCCACCTTCATTGGAATTGGGTTTGTATTGTATAATATTTTTATTATTAAAAATAGCCTTAGTTTATAGGCTTTGTTCACTGGTTATGTTCCATATTGGACTATTCTGTGCTATGATATCAGTTAACGTTCAACTTGACCCTGTCAGCCCATCTCACGCTTCGGCTGAAGTTAGAAAGGCAAAAATAGCAAAACACATCTTCTTGATTTGATATAAAAAAATACATGTTGTCTCATTAATGACAATCCCGGAAAGACAACATGTAGATTTTAAACCCCAGTGCCATGACTATAATTGTGATGATAATCTGAAAGCGATGAAAATGTACCAAAAGCAAGATCTTTTTAAATAACCGTAAGAGGAAATTACAACAGCAAACAGTTTTTAAAAAATGATTACCATCTTGCACACTACTACTGTAATGGATACTTTTTGCTGCACACTGAAATGTCCACCCAATTTTGAATGTGTAGCTTGGATATCAATTGTCTTGGCTTTGACTATTTGTTTGTCAGATGTCCACATTGGCACTTTTCACTGTGTGAATACAACCAAAAATGATAATGGTTTCTTACTGCTGATTTAAAAACTTGTTAGATACCTTAATCGTGAATTATTTCAATGTCTTATCAACAAATGCTTTACATTTTCACATGTTACCTTTCCTTCCTAAAATTAAATGTTGATTACCTGTCATTTGTTTAGATACCGGGCTTCTGTGCAGATGGGGCCGGCTCACCTCTACCTGGCATACAAGCTGATTTCAACTGTGAAAATTTAATTGGGTACAAGGCAGTTTACCGTGTTTGCTTTGGAATGAGTATGTGGTTCATTTGGTTTTCCATTCTGATGGTTAACGTAAAGAGCAACAGAGACCCCCGTGCTGCAATCCACAATGGGTGAGTCCACATTAATACACCTACTAGAGACTGATAGTCCTTCCCCTGGCAAAAATGATGAAATCACCAGTCTGAGGATGTTCATTCAGCTGTTAGAATTTGTAGAAAAAAACAGATCAAAACTTAACAAATGGAAACTTTTTGGCTTTAAAGCTATAATGACAGCCATCTCCCCAATGCCTTTACCTGACGTGCAGCTCCATATCATCAATGACTGGAAATTTGCATGTTTTCTTCAGGCAGTTGTCTTCTATCTCATTGCAACAGCACCAAACAAAGGTTCCAATATCATCACCTTGTCCAATGCAGATTCACGATTTGTCAATAAATTACTTTCATCCAGTCATCCACAATTCACGATTGCTGTTCCTTAGCCCATTGTGACGTTTTTTTTCTGTTGACGTTTTAATGATGCCTTTTGTTTATCTTTGCTTTGCTATGCAGTTGGTTTTCAGTCTTGATGCTTTGATGTCTTCCTTCATCTCCAAGTATACTTGCCTTTAACAACCTTCCCAAATTGTTTGTACTTGCTTCAGATTCTAGACACCGCTGACTGTGAGCAAACAACATATTTTGCCACAGTGCATGATAATTTCCCTTCAGGAAGTTTGGTAATTCTCTTTGTTTCAATGACAGTCAGTCAAGTCCACTTGGTGCAACAGCTCTCCAAGGTGTGATCTCTCTTGTTTAACTGCAGACTAATTGACAGATTCAATTCAATGCAGATGTTAGTTTTGGGAAATGAAATTTGAAAGGATTTTTTTTTTCCTTCAGAATCGAGTGATGACATATTTTTTCCCCTCCGCTTGGTCTAAAAATGTCACTGTTACTGACTACCATCACATTTTTTTTCTTGATTTCTTTTATCATTTTTTTTAAGCCAGAAAGTTGACATTTGAAATGACTATAGTTTGGTGTCATGTCTGTGGTCTGCTTTTTTTTCTACAACTCAAACAGCTGAATGAAGATCCTCTTGAGACTGGTGATTCCATAATTTTTGCCAGGGGTTGTACATCTTGTTGCTCTTAGCCTCTTAATATGCTCTTTACAGCATATCGGGCTTGTTTCTGTACGCAAGCTGCCATTTTTTAAGAATGAACGATAAAAACAACTAGAGCTGCGAGCGGCAATCAAGGGCACTCCCAACCCTGGCCACATCGGGGTACTTGCACATTTGTTACAATATGACCTCTGGAAAAGGTCAAAAATTGTGCCAAATTCCAAAGTAATTACATTATGATGCCTTTTGTAACACACTCAGAGCACTCAAAATGGATACATTATTCATGCACTTGAACATTCACACTCTCGTGGCAGCAGCCACAGTTGCCCTGGGGCAGGCTGACAGGTGTGCGGCTGCCTGTGTGCACCTAGAGCACTTCCGACCACCATCAAACATTCACACCCAGCCGTTGATCAGTGTAAGTGGCATTGGACATAAGGTGGGTGAGTGTCTTCCCACACTGATACGACGACGCATGAATCAGACAGAAGGGAATCCAACAGTGGACCCTCCGGTTACTGGATGACCCGGTCGACCTCTGATACATCGGGTGGCCAAAGAATTTCTGATCTTCTGAGCTCTTGTAACAACTGAATTTTTCCTGCACCTAAGTTATGCGCCAGTAAAAAACATGCAGAATCCTGAGGCCCATGCTCAGCCTCTTCAATCTGCTCAAGTGGAACAGATGTTGGGCATCCACGACCTGATCAGCATTAGTATTGGAGACAGATCCTTTGCTGGCACTGCCCCGAACCTTTGAAACATATTCCCACAACCAATCGGAGATTCAGACTTTTAAGAAAACTTCCAAATCCCTCCTTAAAACCCACCTGTTTATACAAGCGTTTCTTCAACTCTGTTGTCTGTAATTATCGTACTGCCTCTTCTTATTTTTGTTTGTCCTTTGTAAAGTGTCTTTGAGTGTACAAAAAAAGCATTATATTAATCCAATTATTTGTATCAAGCTGATTCTTACCCAACAGTGAGGTTATGTTACAGTTAGTCGATGAAAGAATTTTTAATTACATTACTTTTTTGCTTAGAATGGAATGGCTGCTTTGCATTTTTACATATTTTATTCCAAGAAATGTCTTCCTCTTTAGCAAATGTAGGTTTCTAATGCGTTTCGTGGCACAAGTCTCAAATGAGTAAATGGTGCTTTAATTCAATAATATATTCGATGTTTTCACAATATTTTTGCCAGACAAGTTGTAGCCAAAGTGGATACTGTTGTGAAATCTGCCATTACCATTTTTTCCGACAGATTTTGGTTCTTTAAAATTCTTGGCCTGTTGCTAGTTACAGCTGGTTCCTTTTACATCCCAGATGGTAACTTTACATATGGTAAGATCTTAATTTGTCAATTACAAAAATGAATACTTCCAAAGATTTTTTTAAAAGATTTGATGTCTCATATTTCTTTGTTGTTTTAGCTTGTTTTGTTGTGGGCTCTGCTGGAGGATTTTTCTTCATTCTGATCCAAGTCGTCCTGCTGGTTGACTTTGCCCACTCATGGAATGAGTCCTGGATGGACAAAATGGAGAAAAATAACTCAATGGTCTGGTTTGCAGGTTAGTGTTTCTGGAGACATCTGTGTAAATGTTGATGTTCCCAAGAAAAAAATTCTCATATACCTAAATGATTATTTCCCTCTTTTACAGCTTTGGTGTTGGTCACAATCATGAACTACCTCCTATCATTCATTGCTATCGTACTGTTCTACATCTTCTACACTAAACCTGATGCTTGCTCCATCAACAAGTTCTTCATCAGCTTCAACGTGTTGCTTTGCTTTGGAGCCTCTCTCATCTCTGTGCTGCGTAAAGTACAGGTACATAAATAGCTGTTAAAAAATATTTGGCCCCTGCCTAATTTCAGGGCCATTATCCATAGCAGGGTAGTGATGTTCTGTCGCTGCCATTCTACTTCAAGACCTGGACGACTTGCTATGATTAATGGAACAATGATTTCCATTATCCACCAGAAAACCCTTTCGGCAAAGTTTGTTCCCTCAAGGTCACGTGCACTTAGGTTATGCAGCAGGACAAAGACACATACCTTACCAGCAAATCCACTTCAGATAGGCTGAAAAAAACAAGAATAACAATTTGGGGTGGCCAAATGACATTTAATGTGCGTGGTATATGACCTGGAACAGTTAGTACATGCTTGAAAATTCTCTAACATGTCAATCCATCCATCCATCCATTTTCCAATCCGCTTTATCCTCACAAGGGTCGTGGGCGTGCTGGAGCCCATCCCAGCTGTCTTGGGGCAATAGGCGGGTTACACCCTGAATCGGTTGCCAGCCAATCGCAGGGCACACAGAGACGAACAACCATCCGTGCTCACACTCACACCTAGGGACAATTTAGAGTCTTCCATTAACCTGCCACGCATGTTTTTTGGAATGTGGGAGGAAACCGGAGTACCTGTTGAAAACCCACGCAGGCCCGGGGAGAACATGCAAACTCCACGCAGAAAGTCGGAAATGAAACCCAGCACCTCTGCATTGTGAGACAGACATGCTAACCAGTCGACCGCAGTCCCCTCTCTATACGAAACCTGTGTAAGTTATTGTGGTCTGGTGATCTGAAAACATTGAAGTGTAATATGCACAAAAACACTGAAATGAAGAAAGGGGAAAATAGCTTGAAAGTTCCCCGTCCCCCTTTCTTCAGCCAAACTTAAAATGTCAGAAACTCGTTTGGAATCCCATAAATGTACTTAAATGGTCTTGGTTCATTTCTGAACTTGCTGAAACAGGTGTGTAATTACTAAAGGGAAGAAAAACTAAGCATTTTGGGGAAAACGTGTTTGATTGAAATTTACTGTTCCATACATTGCTTGCCATTTCTGTCATCATCTGTTAAATTGAATTATACATAGTTATTCCTCATTTTGACACACAAGAGACCAGTTTAATATGCAAATGAAGAATGAAAATGTATTTTTTCCCTTTTCTTTTTTTAATTTTTGCTTTCCCAGGAGTATCAGCCTTACTCTGGACTGCTTCAATCCTCCATCATCACCCTCTACACCACATTTCTAACCTGGTCTGCCATGAGTAATGAGCCAGGTAAGAACGATTACTGGCAAGAGGTTAGATTCCTAAATTACGGCTATGTTGTATATGATGTTTTTTTTTTTTTTTTTTAATCAATCTATTTGGCATGGGAGTGTCTGCCTTTTCCTCTGTGTCTTCAATCCCTGAACAACTTCACTCACAATCGCCAAACCACTGCATGAGAAGAACACCGTAGGTCTTTGGCAGGCACATGCACACATAGACCTCTGGTGGTGCATCAGCATCTATGCTTTTGCCCTGGTTAAAAAAATGTGGCCTTTTTGCTGCAGTTCATTTTTTGGCTTTTTTTTCCCCCCTTAAAAAAATGTTTTATATACAGTGATCCCTCGCTCTTACCGTGGTTAACTTTCCGCGGCTTCGCTGTTTCACGGATTTTTTTTTTTAGTGCAGTTTTTTTAATGCTTTTAAACAGTGAATTGCATTCTGCATCCTTATTGGCTAAGGCACTGACCAATGTGAACAGTCTCCGCACCTCGTCCCTGTACAGCTTGCCAAATTTGCCTTTGCAAATTTTTGAGTGGCGGATGCTGGTCTGTCAAGGAGGGGAAGCTCAATTTCGGCCTACATAATAAAATGTGTCAGTTTATTTACACGTGAACTCTACTCTCTGTTCCTTTTCAAAAAAATGAAAAGTATCCCTTCACCATAAGATCGGTGATCTCATTTCGCTGTCAATCAAAAAGAGATTCAGCCTCAAGACAGATCATCCAATCATCATGCAGAAAAAATGAGCTTCCTGGCCAGCCTATAAACGCCCACTGTCCATAGACTCCCAGAGACACTGAGCGTCCGGTGGGCGAGACAAAACCTGCATTTATCCAATGACTCGTCTCATTTCAATGCATTGGGACAACAGGCTCGGAACTCTCGAGACGCCCAGCGTCCGCGCTGGAGACACTCAGCGTCCACACAGTTTAAAGCACAGTGAAATTGAGGGAATGAATGAGAAGAGAGTCGTGTCATAACCAGTAATAAGAAGCTGATTCGGAACAAAAGTTGAGCGCGTTGTAGCGCACATTAGTCAATGAGATGTCCACACAATTGTACGTACACATATATTTGATCACTTAGTTTTTGACATTTTAGGGGAAGCTGAGCTTCCCTTGCAGTCTGAGAGCAATCGCCTCTGCATTGTTGTGCTGTTTGAAATTTCGTCCTTCTCACATTTTTTTGCTTTTTTTTTATGAATCCTACTTCACAGATTTCACTTATCACTAGTTCTTTTTGGAACGTAACCCCCGCGATAAACGAGGGATTACTGTATGTACAGTCAAACCTCGGTTTTCGAAAGTCTCTGTGCTCAACCAAATGGGTTTTCGACCAAAAATTTCGAGTTTTTTTTATGCCTCGGATTACGACGAAAATCGGTTCTCGACCAAACTGAGCGCACTTGAATGCGCCACTTGACTCCTCTCGCCTTCCTTACACGAGGAAGTGACGCTTCCTCGGGTAGACAAGGAAGTGATGCTTCCTTGTGTAGCATTCCTTTGTGAGCAGACGTGTTCAAGAAAGATTTTTTTTTTAAAAAGAGCGTGGTTTCGGTTTTCGAACAAATCGGTTTTCGAACAGCCTTCTGAAACATATTGGGGTCGAAAACCGACGCCTGACTGACTGTATACAGGTATCTCTCTCTCTCTCTCTCTCTCTCTCTCTCTCTCTCTCTCTCTCTCTCTCTCTATATATATATATATATATATATATATATATATATATA